TATTTCAGAGACAGTCTCTAGATATATTTGCAACAACTGTGTTGAATTCAGCACCATGAAGCTTATGCTAGCACAATAAAACTCCACCTCCTTCTACCACTTTGAAAATACACTATATAATATTGGCTTACCAACCTGTTTGGATATTAAAACCATTAGATGTCCATTATGGCACAGTACAGTGCAATCTCAATTCCAGTTTTATGTTAACACAAAGTGAAACCTCAATTTAATGGACTAATAGAGGGAAGAGGTTGTCCTTTAATGCTAAGTGTCCGTTAAATCTGAAGTACGACATTGTTTTTCTTTGACTATAGCAATAGTGGACAATTCTGAAAACAATGGAGAATGGGGTTTGTCCTTTAAATCCAAAATTTGTTAAATTGATGTCCATTAAATTCATGTTTAGCTGTAGTTGTTTCACTTTCCTCTTTGTTTATGGAAGTATTTACAGTATCACTGTATGTGGAGCTTTGACTCTGTCTTAATTAAACTAAAATCATTGAGGACCATGATTAGATACTGTTTACTGAATATTTCATATCTTTTACCTGTGGCTATATGTCTAACCATAATTTGTCCCTCTCATACATTAGATTAGCTTTGACTATAGATTTTATTATGTAATATATTAGGGCTTATGGCATTTTTCCTACAGAATTTTTGAATGTTTAGCTTAGGACCCAACCTTCAGTTTAACATCTTTATTAACTACAGCATATTAACTGATATTTTACTAAACATCAAAATTATAACTTATTATAAACAATAGTCTTAATACCTAGTCTTAGATGCAGTACAGTATTATGAAATGACCCACCAAAACCCACCATATCTAACCAGTCTAACCAGTCTAACCTCATGGCTAGTGCATTTAATTTGAACTAACTTCTTCATGCTTTAACCTAAAATATTTATCATATTACATTAAACCTGTAAATAAAATTAAGGCATAGTAGATAAATTAATTGTAAAACATACTTCCTGGAATGTAGGCGGGAGAGATACATGATTATATACACCTGGAAAATCCTAGAGGGACTAGTACCAAACTTGCACACGAAAATCACTCTCTACAAAAGCAAAAGACTCGGCAGATGATGCAACATCCCCCCAATGAAAAGCAGAGGTGTCACTAGCACGTTAAGAGACAACACAATAAGTGTCAGGGGCCCAAGACTGTTCAACTGCCTCCCAGCACTCGTAAGGGGGATTACCAATAGGCCCCAGGCTGTCTTCAAGCAGGCACTGGACAAGCATCTAAAGTTGGTACCTGACCAGCCGGGCTGTGGCTCGTACATTGGATTGCATGCAGCCAGCAGTAACAGCCTGGTTGATCAGGCCCTGATCCACCATGAGGCCTGGTCACAGACCAGGCTGCGGAGGTGTTGACCCCCAGAACTCTCTCCAGGTAAACTCCAGGTACCAAAATACTGTGCTTGATGCTGTATTAACCCTTTCAGGGTCCACAGGCCCTCTCAGAGACTTGTTCTCAAGGTCCCCCAAATTTAAAAAAAAAAAAATTATTTTTTCTTATGAAAAGATAGAGAATCTTTTCCCGATCATAATGGCCCCAAAAGTATGAAATTTGATGGAAAACTTATGGAATTATGCTCTCGCAAAGTTAGTGGTCTCGACGATGTTTATGCATCGGCGATTTTGCCCACTTTGAGCCCAATTTTCAGCCAATTCCAATGTACTAGTCGACAAAAATCATAACTATTTCGCTAGAACTCAGTTTGTTCTATCGAGTGAGTACAAGAAACCACCAATTTACCGATTTCAACTATCCAGTACAGTGGTCAGAATTTAGCAATTTTGCCAATTTCACACAAATTTCAAAAGATGCCAATTTCCAAATAGGGTTCAGAATTAAGAAGAAAGACATTCCTGGCACTAAAACAACATTTCCTCTGTTCATTAGTCACGTCCCCAGGCCCCTCTTACATTTCTTTTACTTTCCACTTTGAATTTTTATTCTCACAAAAAAAATAAGATTTACTGTTATGCAGACTACTGCATTAGTGTAGAAATGGTATAAATAATATCGGCGCACTTGTGAAAGAATATTAGACTCACCAGCTGAGGTGTATTGGATGCTTAGCATGATTTGTTTACTTTTGAACTTTGGTAAAAATTGAACATTTCTGCTACTTTGAGCTCAATTTCAAAGTACTTTTCATTGTAAAACCAGTCAAAATCATCACAATTTCTGTAATATGTCTTCCATTCTATACAATGAGACCAGGAAAACTAGAATATAACAATAAATACCATACGAGAATATGTGCAAAGTCGCTGTTTTAATCCAAAACACGGTCAAAGTTTTCTTTCTCATTACGCACTGTGTGCTGCAGGATTTTTTTTATACTGTGCACACTGACCACATAGACCCATTCTTTCATATGTAGGCCTACCAGCTTTCACTCACTAGATTTGAAAGCACTAGAATTTATGTGTACTAGTATGTCATGGGACACTGGCGAGTAAGCCGTACTAGTACGGCCAAAACTCTGAAAGGGTTAACTGTAAAGAAGAAATCAGGATTTGCAGAAATGCATAAAGAAAATATGCTTGTTTTTATGACTACTAAAATGGAATTGCCTTGCCTTAAAAATACTTATAAAATCAATAGTTTTTATTTAATTTTACTGTAATTATTTTTATGAAAAATTGCGTGAATTCTTGTGCTGTACAATTGAAATATAATTTCTTTTGGTATACATCATTCTCAGTTTGCTCAGTCATGCTTATATCTGCAGAACTTAATGATCCTGATTCCTTGCTTAGGTATACTGATGTGCTATACAGTATCATGACTTGTGTTGTCCTCTTACAGGGCCGTGGGTCTAGTGTGCATTATTCTCACTGCAGGTCATGCACAGAAGCTCAGTAAAGAAATTCAGGTGAGAAGTTACTCTGGTTAAATTTTCTTCCATAGAATTCAATAATTGTAATAATAATGTATTATTATGAAGTAACTAAACTAAATTTTCAATAAAGTATGTATTAACAAATTCCATTTTATAAATACAGGGTCACCTTGAACTTTCATTTTCCTTTTTGGGTCACCCTGCTTCGGTGGGATACGGCCAGTAGAAAGAAGAAGGTGCTCCTCAACTCATGATGGTTTGACTTAGGATATTTCAACTTGATGATGGTGCAGTAGCAACTACTTTGGAGATGAAACTTGAAATAATTACCCGGCATGAAGGTGGCAAGTCCGTAACCTGTATTCATTTATTTATTTCTCAATATTGGTATTTAGTTACAGTAATTATTTGTTTATTTGCTTATTCAGTGACAGTAGTTATTTATTTACTTATTTATTTAGCATATCTAACATATTGCATTCATAGTCAACTTAGGATATTTTTGACCTACGATAGACTTGTCAGAACATAACCTCATCATAAGTTAAGGAGCACCTGTATAGCAATATTGCTATGTTTATAAAATGGAAGCACAGTGCCTGCACTCTGAAGGAGGGATGGAGATATATTGCAGTTTTTGAGCTGTAGTATTGGTAAGCCTCTGGCAAGACAAGTGATGATGAAAGTGTTTCTTCTTTTTTGGGTCACTGCCTCAGTGGGAAACGGGCAGTGTTACAAAAAAAATTTTTTTTACTAATATGCAATTCAATTTAGCTACTTCATTAAATTAAAATAATATGGTATTAACAGGAAATGTAAAAGTTGTTTATTGAGTAATGACTACTCTGAAATATATTTTCTACATGTTCTGTTTGCAACAGGATGATAAAAGTGGCAGATATGGCCACCTGAAGGGGGTGCCCAAGGCTCTGCTTCCATCACCTCAAGGCAAGAGGATCCTTGACCACTGGTGGGATGCAATTAATACGTAAATATACTTTGTTGATTCTCCTTTACAAGTCTTTTTCCTGTAATGTTTTAAGATAATTATTTTGCAGGCCTGTGTGAGTGTGTTAGATTAGAGTGAAGGGAGACAAGTGGTTTTTAATGGAGCGTGAGCAAGGTAACATTTATGGAGGGATTCAGGGAAACCAGGTAGCCGGACTTGAATCCTGGAGGTGGGAAAGGCAATCCCTGCACTCTGAAGGAAGGGTGGGGATGTTGCAGTCAGAGGATAATCTGAATTGTGATGTCAACACACTTTTGGCAAGAAAGCAGTTGAATGAATGATAATGAATACAGCCTCTCCTCACTTAGCAACGTACTTGTTTACTGACGACTCGGACTTACGATGGGCTCTCTGACTAGTGTGCATACCTAAAATAATGTACATTAGAGCTGATTCCCTCTGTTCTCTTTAATACAATATACAGTACATTACTGTAATAAACATTTAAAATATACCAGAAATGTTATAAATGGTGGGAAAAAATGACATTAAAGCAATATCAAAGATGGTTGAACACAAATCACACTGCCATTTATAGTATGCACCTCACTTAGCAACGAATTTGTTTACCGATGTGGTCTTAGGAACTGAACTTCGTCATTAAGTGAGGAGAGGCTGTATTATGTTTTTTGGGCCACCTGCCTTTGCAAGAAATGGCCATTGAGGTAAAAAATGTTTAATGCTATTGCCAGTACAGCAAAGCAAGTAATAAATATAATGGTCCAGGATGTATCAAAATATCATGTAAATTTGATCTTAGATTTGTGGGTTAGATGTGTATGGATTAAACAATACTTTCAACATATTAGGCCATGCTGCTTGGTATTAAGCAAGTAGTGTACCCTGCTTTTCTTGAGCATTTATTTGCTAGTCTCTCTTGTCTTCTTAAGTTTCCTTATTACTGTCTTTACTAGTAGAAATGTTGCTGTAAATACATGATGCTTTTATAACAATATTATTTAGCATAAATGTACTTATTTTATGTTAGAAATACTGTAGATATTTATTTAAAAAACAGTAAGATATTATTATTTTCTGTAAAGTTAGATATGATTATTTCTGGTTTCAAGACAACACAGTTGCTAGCATTTATGATACTGTATATAATTTTCCTTAATAAGGGTTTTTCCTTCTAACACTTACTGTGAAGAGGCTTGAGTAATAATTTCATAATTTAGTTTTCTTTAAAAATTTTGCAGTTTGGATCATGTGTGGGATTTCTTAAAGTACTATAAATGAACATGGTTTCTTGGCTACATATTCTGATGAGGTTTATTCAGATGTTAAGCTGTATTCATAAAGCTATCCATGAACCTATAATTTATGTGTAATTTGTTCATATCATGCATCATACAGTATTACTTGCAGTAGTTTTGAACAACTATTAATGCAATGTGTATCTTGTGACAGGCGTCAGCTTTTCAGTAATGTATTCCTGGTCACCAATGCAGACAAGTACAAATATTTTGAACGTTGGGCAACCGCCTCAGAGTTTCCTGTAGAAAACATAATAAATGATGGATCTACCACTGAAGCTAATAGCATTGGTGCGGTTGCAGATTTTGAACTTACTCTTCGAGTCAAGAATCTTTGGGAATACGATATTCTTGTCATTGCTGGTGATATGCTCTTCCAGGTAATTATCATATATGCTAATCTTAAAGGAATCTGAATATTGCTGGGGCTGTGGAGTGTGTGAAGATAGGCACTGACCAAAATTTACATATTGTTGTTCTGAGTTGCTTTTATAGCTTTATTTTGCAGCCATACCTATACAGTGGAACCTTGGTTTTCATCATTAATTTGTTCCAGAAAGTCTGACGAAAACAGAATTCGATGAAAACTGAAGCAATATTTCCCATAAGAAATAATGTAAATCCAATTAATCCGTTCTAGACACCCAAAAGTATTAACAAAAAATACATTTTATAGAGAAATAACTATAACTATAGTTTTTACATACAGAAAACAATGAGAAAAAAAATACAGTGGAACCTCTACTTGCGAGTGTGTCCACGTGGAGTTTTTTCCAAATACGAGCAGTCGATGGGTCAATTTTTTGCTTCCATACGCGAGCAAAATTTTCCACAAGCGAGCAGACCTCAAGGCAGGTTCCTTGACACTTGGGGAGGGCTCTTGCTCTTGGGAATTGTATCTCATTTGTTTGTTGGACTATCTATTGAAACTTGGGCAATGTATGATGGAAAGATGTTGCTTCTTAACGTACACCAAAAATGAAAGAAAAACTAAGCATAAATAATGGAGTTCACTTCTCAGCAATTAGCCACCCCTTAGTGTAATTTCGAATGGTTTTTTATGGTTGTATTCATCGTTTTTTTTTGGTCTCATTTGATAGATGGAAGATATATTACAGAAATAGATATGATTTTGATTGCTTTCACGATGAAAAGTACCTTGAAATAGAGCTCACCTAGAGAAAGGGTCCATTGCTTGTCTGTTTCAGGGAAAACAAATGCGCACGGGCCCATTCCAATATGCAGTCGTGAAGGTTTTTGGGACATTTTTTATACAATTTTTGGCAAAAAGGGGAAAAAACAGTAAATTTTATATTTTTTTTTTGTGAAAAAAAATTTAACAAAAAAATTTACAAAATAAAAAATAATAATAAAAAAATAATATAATAAAAATTAAAAATTTATTATAAAAAAATAATAATATAAAAAAAAAAATTTAATAATAAAAAAATGTATAATAATAATAGGGAAAAAATAACAATTTTGTATAATTAAAAAATATAAAAATAATAATAATAATAATAATAATAATAATAATAAAATAAATATTTTAATAAAAATAATAATAAATAATAATAAAATAATAGTATAATAATAATAATATGTAATAATAATTTTACTACATATAAAAATTGTAAAAATGGGACGGCTTAAAAAAGGGGGAGGGACTGGGATGGCATTTTTTTCCCAAACAAAAAAGAGGGAGGGGGTTTGTGGCCGCCCCCCCCCCTGTTCCCTAAGGGACATTTTTTTTTTCATTCTGGGAGTATATATCGTTTTTTTAAAAGGTTTTTAATTTTGTTGCCCTGGTCAAATTAGATAAAACTGGATAATAAAAAAGCCGTATAAAATGATATTGGGGCAAAATTAAAACATAAAGTTTTTTTCGTCGGTCTCCAGCCCAAAAACTCTTTTTCCACCCCCCGACCCGGCCCAAAACCAAACTACATAAAATGACATTTTTTATTCCTTTAGAAAAATTTTTCATTTTTTTCTATGTTTTTTAAAAATTGGGTTTGTTATGTAAATTACAAAATTTCCAGTGAAGAAAAAAAAGCCGTATAGATGTATTAACAAATTATTCTTGAAGTTTTTTTCCCCGGGGGGCCCAACAAACTCTCGCCCCCCCCACCGACCCCAAAACCATACCATTCTAAATTGCATTTTTTTATTCATTTTAGAGTTTATTTTTGGTTTTATGTTATTTAATGTTTTTTTATGCCCATTTTTGATAAAGTGGATAGAAAAATAACCCGTAAGTTGAATATTAGTAAAATTAAAAGTACAGAATTCTGCTGGAAGGGAAATTAATTGCTTTTCCAATTAATTTAAATGGGGAAAAATTGATTTCTAAAAAACGAGCAAATCCAGTTGCGGGCAAGGTAAAGGAAGGGGTTTTAAACTTGCAAGTAGGGGTTTCCCAAAACTTTAAAGGACAAATAAAAATTGGATAAAGGGAAACATTTAACACCCACTTTTCCCAAAACTGAAGATCTTGAAAGGCATAGGGAAAGACGGCAAGGAGGAGAAAAAAGGAAAGAGGGGTTTTTTATCTTTTACCACCCCCCCTTACCACCATCCAAAACCCCACAAACCCCCCTTCCCCAACCATCATTTCCCAAACCCCTATCACCACCCTCAAACCACCACCCAAAACCACTACCCCCCTCCTACCCCCAAATCACAAACCACTCTCCCACCATCGCTACCCCCCTCTACCACAATCACTACCCCCCTGATGGATCAAACAGGAGCCCCTTCTGGCGGGGCTGCATTTTCCCTTTGGGTTGCCCCCCTCCCTTTTAAAAACAAATATAAAATTGTTTGATTTGGCATAAAAAATTAAACAAGGGGTTTTCCTACACGCAAACTAAAATTTTTTTTGCAACCCAAAATGGCGCAAAAGCTAACCTATGACACTGAGTTTGGGAATCTAAAATTACTGTTTCTTGTCATCACTAAAGGCTTTTGACCATATAATGACTCCAAAACAACATGCCTTTTGGAAAAGCCAGGTATAGATACTAAAAAATCGGGAAAAAAGGGGAATTTAATGTTAAAAAGGGCCGGGGACCCCATCACCCCTTGGATTACCCCTTTAAAATGTAAAGTTTTTATATTAGCCAAGAAGAGTCCCCAGAAGGAGAAGGGTAGAATTAACTTTGGTATACCCTGTGTTTAGCATTGGGAAATTAATATTAGGAGAAAAGGAATAATAAAAAATGATTGTTTATGGGGAATGCTTTGGGAAACCTGAGTGGGGTTCTAAAACCCCAATTATAAACATGAACTTTAAAGTTTAAGTAGGTTTATGGGGGAAATTTTAGCCCAGCATTATAAAAAACCTATGGACATGCCCGATTTTTAAATTAAATGAAAATAAGATACTAGATAAACAAAGGGAAATTTCCTAAATTTGCTTTGTAACAGATAAGGGAATTTTTTGATATGTAAAATTAAAAACCCCTTTAAGAACACCTTTTAAACCCTTTTTTGGGGGCCCCTGTTCCTGGGCCTTTTGTGTATCCATATGCGTTAGGCTACCACCCACGGGATGGATATGGGGGTGCACAAAAAAACTAGCCACTTGGGTTTGGAAAAAATCAAAATCAATCTAAAAACCCCCCTACCACCTCAAAACCATCCCACCACCCACTACCACCCTCTACAACCTTTCACTACCCCCCCTAACCACCTTTCCAACTCCCAAACCCTTTTTCCACAGTCATTTACCACCCTCTACCACCATCACAAGCACTATCCCCCCCTACCACCATCAAAAACCACTATCACCCTTTTAACCACCATCACAACCACTCCACCACCCCTACCACCTCTTTAACCACCCTTTACCCCCAAAACACTATAACCCTCTACCACCTCACCCCCCACCCTCTACCCCCATCCCCACTAAAACCCTCTAAAAACCATCACACCACCCTTTACCCCATCACTACCACCATCACAACCACCCTTACTGACGATTATTATTTTTAAATTATAATCAAAAAGAAGCGCAAAGCCACAAGGCTATACAGCGTGCGGGGGGAAAGGGAAAGCGAGGGAAACAGGGGGCCCAAAAAGGGTAGGGAAATTGAGAAATGGGTTTACGGAAAAAGGGGGGTGGGGGAGGGTTTAAAAAGGGAAAAAGGGAAAGCAAGAGCCCTGAACAAAAAAGGGCTGAGGGGGGAAAGGGCGAAAAGTATCATCAATTTTTGGGGAGAAACCCAGCCCGTTGCCCAAAAAGTCAATGAAGAGCCCGGATTAAAGGGGGGTCCATCAGAAAGGGGGAAGGTAAAAGAGAGGTAGTAAACGAAGACGTTTTTGGGTAAATTCGCTTGCTCGTTGAAAAGGAAGGGAAAGCTAACGAATGGGCTAATCGAAACGGGAAAACTTGACACTCCCTCACAGAGAGGAACAGGGTGCCTCTCCATAAAGATCCCAGAGAAAGGACGAGGGTGGCCAATGCGTGGGCGGGAGGAGGGGGTCCCCCAACCCCGGGCACTGGGGGACTAGAACGGCCAGTAACCTTTGCTGGGTTTGAATAGAATGATTTTTGTTCCCGAGTAGAGTTGCCCAAAGGGTTTTTTGCCAACGGGTTGCAAAGGTGGGTACCCAATTTGAAAGCAAAAAAGTCCAGAAATGGAACACCTCTATGGGAAAATTTTGGTAGGTCATTACTGCGCCCGCGCCCCGTGTCTGCCTGTTTTTTTCCCCTTTTTACGTGGGACTGCCCAAAGGGCCCCAACCAAAAAACAATATCTTTTTTTTTGGTAGAGAACGGCGTACCCAAATTTGGGTTTTCGGAGAATAGGGGATGAGATGTACAAATTTTCGTATGTTGAGAGCAAAAAGGGGGAGTCTAACTACTACAAAAAGACACAGGCATAGTGCGATAAAATAGTGGGGGAAGAAGGGCATAAGTTCACAGAAAAAAATGCTAGCGGGAAGATAGTAAATCCCCCGGGCACGACGCTGCCCCGGAAACACGGGCCTGCAAATCCGACGGTCTGAAGATTTAGACCCCCTCTTTTGTACACATGGGTGGCATAGAATGGGAGGGGGAAAGTGATAAAAGGAAAAAGGACCCGGGAAGCCACCGTAGGCAGTTGAGTTTTTGGGAGAAAAGGGACCGAAGAAAGAACAACCCCAAAAGCGGGAACTTCCCAGGGAGGGTGGGGGAAAAAGTGAGATGCACATGAACATAAAAAAGGTGGAAACCCTTAAAGGGGAAGACAAGAGTAAAAATGTAGGCGAAGAAAAAAGGGGGAGGGAGTAAAAACAGGGGCGGCGAAAGGGTTTAAAGAATTTTCTACTAATTCGGTGCCCCTTTTTTTCTATAAATGGAAGGTTTTGTGAAGATCGTGGAGCGGACATAGTA